ATTGTGTGTGTGAGGGAAAAGAAAGCCTGGTCTTTGGTTTGTGAAGTCAGTGTGTGTGTGTGAAAGTGGAAAAAAAGAGTCTGAGGGGCGACTGCGCACACCGCCACCACTGGGAAAATTGAAGGCAGATTTTCCATGGCAGGCGTAGGCTCCAAATTGTTCGTTTTGGATGGAGAATTTGTTCTGGCACGAGATGTGACAATGATATTCATTTTGGAGCTCACTTCCATTTATATAGTGCTGATTGCACTTACACACCTACATACACACACAAGCTCCAGCTGAGCCAAACTATTACAGAAAACTAAACCTGCCTTCAAATGAGAAAAAGAAACCTTGCCTAAAGTTCAGGCACAGATCTAAAGACTTGTGCTTAAATTGCAGCCTCTCTTTATACTTTGATTTGCACGCGCACACATACACGCACACCTACATACACAAACACTCTCCAAAAACAGACATTTCTCTATCGCTTACTCCTACATCCTCATGCGTGCCCAGACCCAAATGATGTGCCAACATTTGGTTGATGTGATCCAGCTCCAGGATCATGTTTCTTCAAATCATCTCTAACTGGCCACCATGAGGCCCATTAAAGAAAACTGCTACAGATAGCTGAGGAGGGTTACTGTTCTCTATTTCAGTCAGGAACACTGAGGAACATGGATTGGGTGTGATGGGAAGAATCACAGAACGGGGTGCACGTCTCCTCACAACTTTCTTAGTTTTAGCCCAGCTAAATCAGCCCAAAAGACAAAAAGTGTATTGATTGCACTATACTGCAATGCTTCCAAATTTGTGCTCATTTTTCATGCTTTTTAGTTTTTGTTTTTTCACTTGAATGTTCTGATTTCTTGTGGAGATATATGTCTGATTCAAGCTAGATTTGAATTTCTGAAGACCATTAAGAAAAATTAAATTAGCTTTACTTTAAATCAGTTTCTGCGATTAAATTTGATGGTTGAACAACTGTACAAACATTTAAAATGTTCTAGTTTCATTATCCTTGATTTTGCATTGCATTTTTAAAAAATCTTGTTGAGAATAGCCAAAATGCATTTTAAGAAATTAACCAATTTTTTATTTTGAGTTGTAGGTGGTTCGGATTTTAGATTTTATTTAATGTTTTGATTTATGTGTTTATATCAGCATGAACACTTATTACTTATGGAGCAGCTGGCGTTACTTTTTTTCCTGGCTGTGTCGCAGCTGTGTATTCTCTCAGTGTCCAGCAGAGGGAGTGAGACATTTAATAATCTGAGTTCCTGTTTAGGTGCAACTATGGCAGCTGTAGCATTTTTTAAGTAAAAGTACTAAAACAAATCCAATCGTGAAATTTTTATGTATTAGAATTTGAAGGCTTTTTTTTGCATTGAATCACAACTTTTTCATGCCGTCATGCAAAGTGATCTGAAAATGCAATCATATTGGTGCATTTACACATATGGATACACATATACACACACCCGCAGACATGCACATGAAATAGTGGGTACACAGCCCACTCCCTCTTTCTGCTTGTAATCTTACAATCTGATATAATCTGATAATGTCGTCTTTTAAAGTGCTTAGCTGCTTTACTTCTATCACGAAAGACGGTTTTCACAAATGTGTTACGAGGCCTGTTCGATGAATAATGTAATATTCCCTGTGCTCAGTAAATGTTTGTGCCCTTGAGACTTCTGTCATATTTCCCAGGTCATACATTTGTTCAGCTGCGAGAGGCTGAACTTCCTGTAAGTAACTGACAAACTCCTTTAAATAGTTCATGTGCCATAAGGGAATATGAGCTCTGCCGATGATTATACAACGATGGCGTCTCAGAGCTCACGTCATGTCACTCACCATAATTGTTGTTTTGGTTGTTTCCCTGCTGGACCTCAGAAGGGCTTAGAGAATTAAAATGCTAATTCATCCAGGACCAAAATAGTCCAAACAGCTATTTAAGTTGAGCCAGAAGCATTTATCACACCATAATTAAGTTAGATCCAGGAGCAGACAAAAACTATCTTTGTTACTATGTTAACTGCAGCATGGGAAAACCCAGGATCTGTGCAGAAAGCCTTTCATTTGGAGTTTTGGATTTAAAGGTTAACTCTTATTTTTGGAGCATTGACCATCACCCCTGTATGTAACAATAACACTGCAATCCCCAAGTTCAAATCTGTGATCACTACAAGGAAATAAGACAGTGCAAGATGCCTGAGCAAATGATTAGATGTGCCAGATACCAGAAGATAAGGACAACAATCTTAACTAAAACAAAGTAACATCCACCACCCTTTGTATCGGCTATGGCTTATGCTCCTGTGTGTGCACAGTTTTCATGAGCAAACAGGAATTATTGGAAATGTCTCAGGCATGCTGACTCAGTTTGCCCTCCAGACATAAAAAGGTTTAGATGAGCTACAAAACCTTTGACTTGTTTACTCGTCGTCAGATCAAACAAGCCAAAGGTTTTGCTCATGTTCTCTTTTTCTCCACCTAGAGAGAAAGAATGAGAACTACCATCAGTCCAGACAGTTTCACTCGGCTGAAATTCTTCTTGAAAGTAAAAAAAAAAACAACCCCAAAACATAACAGCATCCCATATCATGCTCGGTGACTTAAAAAGCTAAATGCCTGCACTCGCATGAAAACTCTGAGATGGATAAGACTACAAAGAGATGCAGAAACCTATACTGAAAACTCAAAGCTCTGTTGTGTTTAAGAGAGAGCTGAGCATAAAAGCAAAGTTGTCAATTTTCCGGCATGTAGTAACAGAAAGTACAATTTGAATAAGGTACTTGAGTAAAATTTTGAAGTTACATTCCATCAACTCCATCCTGAAGTTATTGCAAATAATACAAATGATGGTCAAATGTGCAAAAGGGAGGGCTACCTCTTCAGGTTAAATGCCTTCTGGTGGAAGCACAGGCTTCAGAAATAGCACGTGTTAATCAGTAAAAGCAAGCATCGTTTTTATGGGGGAAAAGCAGACAGATTGTAAAGACAAGGAAAACAACCACTCGTTGGCCATGCAAGAACAGTTCATATGCTCACCAATGTTAGCCTTGGGATGGCAGCTTGAAGTTAATTATGTTTCCTTTCCAATCCAACAGAGGGTGTAGTCGAGCTTGCATCTGTGTTTATGAAAAGTGTGTAATAATAGTGACTTAATCACACAAACAGTGCAACCTCTCAGTCAACTTGACTTGCGTGGAAACTCCACATCTCAGGACATTCTTTTGGTTGTTCACCCAAACCACACACTGTTAACAGCTGTGCAGTATTTCACTCAGACTGCTTGGAGATTTTCTATTTTTTGTGTTGAGCTCTTTTCCAAAACCACTCATTAATAAAGTATTTGTGATCATGTGGCACTGATGGCAGAACAAAGCTTACTCCAGGCAGAGAGTGAGGGGCAGGAAGCAAAGAAAAGAAGGTGAAATGCAAAAGTCAAGGAGAAAAAAGCAAAAGGAGAAAGGAACAAAGGAAGAAAAAAGATGGATGTTTCAAAGGAGCCGAGTTAAGTAACGCTCTCTTTCCCGCTCTCTTGCACATACACACTCTGCATGCAGACTCCTCACCCCTCCCTCGCTCTTACTGTCTCCTCTGTAATGAGCTCCAGATGTGCTGCTAAGATGGGGGGGGTGGGTGGGTGGGTGGGTGAGGGTGACGGGTGGAGGAGGAGCGGCGGTAATGGGGGAGCTGCCTTGTATGTCATGTGCTCATTCAAGTAGAGACGATGTCTGAGGGGACGCTGTCAGCCCTGATGGAGTTGCAGTCCAGGGCCTGGAGGCGAAACTGGGGGAGGAGGATGAAGAAGGGAAGCTGAGGTGGGGGTGGGTTGGGAGGTCAAAAAGATCTCCACATCTGGAATTACTTCGGGCCAGGCCCTGGCTGTGAAAGGTGAGCCTGGGCGCCTGGCAGGGGAGAGGGTGACAGGGCTCTGACACTGGACATCCCAAAGTCAGGGATCAGTGATCAGGAAAACAACCCAGAGCAAGAAATGAAATGGGTGAAAAGGAAAAAGAAAAACCCCTCCTTAAAAGTGACATACAAGTCAGGAAAAACCCTAAAATCTCATCAGTGAACCGTTTCTCTCCTTATGACTAACATTTGCTCTGCTCTGTAACTGTTTGACAGTGCCGGCTTGCATTGAAGATACTTGAATTATGAAAAACTACCCAAATTACTGTGTGTAAATGAAGATTTTCATTCCTATAAACAGTTTAAGGCCTACATGCCACTGAGTTTTGTACAGATTCGTGCATAACAATAAGAATGAAGGAGATGTTGCAAACACTGTTCAATACATATGTAATGTTGCTGACACCACTAACGTAAAGGTTTAGGCAAAGTGTAAACTTATGCAAATGACAATTTCTTGAGCCGTGTTTTCATACGATGGCACGCATGCCAATTTTTTTTTTTTTAAGTCCACCAAATTAAAACACTTCCTCATCAGCTACGGTTTCATTCAACCTGGCTTTTACAGTCTGGGAACACCATTCAAAGACCAGTATCAACTTATGTTTGTTGACAGTGAAGGTTATGAGGGGCAGGGAGAAGAAACATTGTTTAAGAGTCATACAGTTAAACAAGACCCGAGGGCCTCCATAGCAAGGACAAGATTTCGCCGCTCATAAATATCCTATTTTTAAGATGGAAATTTCAGGTTGTGGTAATCAGGAAAACACCCCTCCCCCAAGCCTATCCCCCACACAAAGCAGGAGGACCTTGGGGTTTCTCTGAAGGAGCATCTGTTCTCTGGTTGTAAATCTCTCTTTTTATGGGGTGTGCATGAGGTCCATGATCAGTTTGCTTTCCAAATGGTCTGATCTATAAACACACTTATTCCTTATAATTCTTGAAGCATAATTCAAGGCTGACTGATCGTAGGCAGTATATTTTTGTTATAATAATCTGCAAGCGTAAAGACTCAGTCGGGGACTGTTTAAAGAAAGTGATGGAAACCTGGAAAATATTGGAAAACAACTGTTTTCTCCCTTCTGATATGTGTTGAAACTGCAATTTTATTGCTTGAAACGCATGTTTATTCATATACAAGTTTTTATTCTGTTACAAATAAAGGATATCATATGAAATTATCTACTGATTTTGGATTCAGAAATACATTAGCCTCTCCTTTATATTGGACTATTACATGAAATTCAAAATGTGTTGAAAATGTTTGTTTGTCAGTGGTATAAAATGGAAAGAAATGTGAAAACAAAAATTAAATTGTATAAATGTCAGAGGAAGTCATTGTCATTTTGTTGAAGACATAAAAAGAAAGAAAGTAGATGATCCCAATTATGGTGTGTAATTTTATCCAACACCATAGAAAAAGTGGGATTCCATGTAGTCCATATGAGTCTCCATTTAAGCAAGTTCTCTGACTGGAACTAACCCTCCATTTAAGTCACAATCACAAATGCAAAACTGTGCAGATATTTGGCTACAGCATCCAGTCTAGATGTCTTTTTGTGTGAACAAGAATTCAGTGATGCTGAGGAGAAAAAGAAAACTTGGCTTGGGGGAAAATCCTGCCATCACACGGTTTTGCACTTTTGCACATTGGTACATTGATAGTAGTATACCATCATGGCTGCTCCAGAAAGAAAAGAATACTTCTTGATCCAGAGTATGTGGAATAATGTTCATCCCAGAGATAATGTCCTTCTCTGGGGGGGTGTTGTAGTAGAGAGGGCTCCTTCCCTTCCCCTGGGATCCCCTAGCCTCTCAATGTTTCAGTTGACTGTGGGCACCTGGTTCAAGCTGTACTCCTTGGCTTTGAGCCGCAGATTGGCAATGCTGTTGGCCATGTTCATTCCCTGGGATGTATTGGTGTTGGAGCAGGTGGGTGGGTAGGTAGCCATGGCACTGAGAGAGGAAGGAGGCAGAATAGGTGAAAAGTTACATCATCTGTGGATTACAGTATCACCTGCAGCTATGTAAATATGTAAAGAAACAAAAAAAACCTTTTAAACTAAATGTGACATCAACTACTCTGAAAGCTAAAATCCCTACAGGAACATGACCGGTGTTTTTGCATGTTTGTTGTCTAGGCACCAAGCTGGTGGTTATATTGTCTGTAAATAGCAGTATGTGAAACCTAATGAGCAGAAATCAGAAAGATAAGCAGAAAGATAAGTAGAAAGATAATGACCCATATATATATATATATATATATATGAGAGAAAGAGAAAGAGACTCTCTGTGGGCAATATTTTCTGCAGCACTCATGCTGCCACCATTGGATACCAGCTTAGGGATAATGCAAAGTGAACTCTTGGCACTACAAAGCATTATTGCTACAAAGATTTCTCTGGCTGCAGCTGTAGGGTTTGACATTTTATACTCAGTTTCAGAACTGAGAATTACTGTAAATCATGACCAATGTAACCAGAGTCACAAAAATGTTGCCCAGGAGAGCGCTGTCATTCTGTGCGATGTTCATTATCTCGTGTAGTGTAGCACAGAGGGGTCATGGGGGTCAGCAGTGGATTTAATATGGTTTGTTTTCACATTATCACCTCTTCAGGAGGGTCACAGGATCTATCCCCAGCCCTCAAGTGCTGACAGAGGGGTTAGATGAGAGACAGGGAGAGGAAAATGGTGTTTTGATTCACCACAATTAGCTTAAAGTTAGATGTGTGCAACAGATTATAGTTGCATATGAAAGGTAGAAGGCAAAGATTTAGAGAGTTTAAAAGGCAGAATGAAAATGTAGGAACAGAGGTTGATCTTTAACTCAGTATTACAGCATTTAAAGGTCACATTCACTCAACTTTCACTACAGTTATTAAAATGGAAAGACTACATGTACCTATTTTAGGCATACATGCTTGCCAGTCGTTTCTCCTGAAAACAAATAGATCAAGTTGTCATTGTGAATAACATTTTTTTCATCATTTAAATATTTTCATTACATGCAAGATGTAGTACTTGGCTACTTAAGTATTTTTAAGTATATATATAACTCAAATATTTTCACTTGAAATTTCTTTATTGTCATAGTCTCTTTTTCTTCTCTACAAAAGCAGTCTAGAGTCCTTTACTTTAGTCAGGAACATCTAGTTTTAAACCAGTTTATACCATCACAAATTAAACGCTTTACATTCACTACATTCATTTCTTGCAAAACTTTCCACTTTTGAGAGGTGTCAGTAAGACACTTACAAAACATTAGTCTACACATACCTAGAACAATATATAAAAATGTTTGAGTATAAAATTTTTTGAATATACAATTTGTTATTTCAAAAAACGTTTTGTTTTGTTTTTAAAAGAAGGTTTACACTAATGAATTTGAACATTTGGGTTTACAGTGTAATCGTTCAGAGACAGTCTGCACGGCACTGCCAACACAATCTGGCTTTAGATTATTGTGCGATATTATTTTATAGTCAGTGCTATAGAAATGAAGCGGAAACATTTTCCGCTTGATTTTTCATCAACGAGAAATAAATGGACAGGCCAGACATTTAGGGATGTATAGACTTCTAATAGTTTAAGCTGAAGAGACTTTTTTTTTTTATAAAAAGAAACTTTCAAGAAGTAAATTTGGAAGTAAAATGCAGCTAAATATTTATGTGTTTATGAAGATTAAATTTAGGTTAATGGTGATTTTTTTTTTAATACATGTATATATTTTTAATCTGCAATTACTTTATTTTTTATTTTTTAACAAATCCTTTAAAAAGAAGATTAAACTCATTAGTCTGCTTTTATTATTAAAGACTAAACTTTTCCTTTATCTCTAGATTGTTCCACGTTGGTTCACATTTGCTAAGGATTTGTAATAACCTAAAGCTCAAATTTCAAACAAATGCACTGGGTGATTCAGTCCTTTTAATTAGAAATTAATTTTAGTGATTAATCAGCTTTTGAGACCTCGTGTATGTGTGATTTGGTCATAATAAAGTGTGCATGTTCATTGTAATAGAGGTACATGTCACATTTGAAAAGCGGAGAGCTGTTTTATTTGCTGTTTATTTATCTAACTGTTTGTTGTTTTGTCTGTCAGCAAGCTTACCCAAAAGCAATCAGACTGAATTCATTGAAACTTGGTGCAGATGTGCATCATTTTGTTTAAGGCTGCACAAGAGGACATGGGACGTTTAACTGTTTTGTATTAAAGCTCTGTTGCATGGAGGCATTAGATGCATGCGGCTTTGGATACACATAATATGCTGCAGCAGTGAGCCTTGGTTTGTCTGCACGGACAATTAGACAAAAAGAAAAATAACATTGTTTTACTATTCGAAATGCACAAGGCATCGCTGTTGGTGTAGAAATATAGTTTGAATGGACAATGTGTG